ATATTGTTGTGGGAAGGGTGCTAAATTGATACGAGGAAACCTGAATTTTCTGTTTTTGACTCTATTTTTGTTCAGTTTCAGTTATTTTGGTTTTAATTACTATTCATTTAAATATATAAAATGAGGTTTTTCTACTAGTTGCTCCCAAACTGGGCTTCGCAGCTCTTTAGAATTTTACAAAACAGGAATGATAAGACCTCAAACAACTTTTTGTATATAAAAAAAGCCTGACATCGGAATTCTGCCTTTAAGCATGATAAGGTTACCCAGAATTTGCACTTTAGCTACCACATCTTCCTTGCTGCTCCAGATTAAAGTCAAGATTTAAGCTGTCTCAGACATGTGAGAAGTTCTCTCATTTTTAAAGACTTCCAGAATTCACATGGAACTGATACTTAACAGTCTTGAGTGTAAATGAACCTAAACCCCTCAATCTTTAAGCTGTCTTTTCAGCCTGTGTCCCTGCAGTCAGCGGAAGTTAGGGACGGCAAGTCACCCTTTTCTGAAAAGAGTCTTTTATATAGACCTTACCAGGGATTAGTTGTCAGCTCCGGGCCAGACCCTCCAGGAATGGTACACAGGCTCGTTGTTGGGGGATGTCATGAAAGGAGGAAGTAAAATATGACAAAGGACAAAAGTATTCACTGCACAGTATTGCCTAGGGTCAAAGGCCTTTCCAGTCAAATACAAACAAAAAAGATGGACACGTTTTTTCCTTTGCTCACACTTTTGTTTGGCTTATTTCTTTCTTGGCCTTCACTTTCAATGTGAAGCCTTTTTTTCTTTCCTTTTTTTTTTTTTTTTTTTCTTTTTTTCCGTTTGGTTTCAGTGACTCCATACAGTTACTCTTTTGTAAAATCGAAAGCACATCTATCCCCGACAGGGATTCCTGAAAATTTTCCAGTCCCTGAATGTTCTAGGGACATAGTAAAGGTTATATTTAGATGCCACACTACATTTCAGAGAAAACGTGATTTTCCTTTAAGGGTTTGCTTCCACATCTCCCACCTACACCAAATACACTTTCAAGTTAATAAAAGCTCTTCCTGCTGAGGCAGCAAATCAGGCTATAATTAAAAGGGAAGAAACATTTTACACATGAAAGTGTGTGGTTTGGTTTAAGCATAAATATGAAAAAAAGGCATGAAAGCTGATAACAAGATATAATTTGTATTCATTGTTTTTATTTATTGAACAAACTGTTCGAAGAAAACTTGTTTTAACTATTAACTTACTATATTCTAATACGTCTTTAATGTTTCACATAGCTACTGCATTGGAGCTTGTAAAAATAACTTCAAATTCCAGTGTCAAGTGGAGCATAAGATTTGGTTTCATTTTCAAAACTGCTTTGCTGAGAAATATATCCTAAACGGCAATTCTCATTTTACTTCCTTACAGCTCCAACAGCTGCAGGACGAATTATAAAATGTATTTAACCCAATCTGAAAGTTAGAATTTTGATCTCTGAAGAAAGTAGTTTTGAAGAGTCTCGCACATGCCAGAAAAAGGATTTAGAACTTTGATAAGGCTTCAGAAAGTAAGAAGCACTGTGAAATTTTGACAAAGAGCTACCTTCTTTTTTTTTCCTTTTTTTTTTTTTTTTCCAAGAATGCTTCAGATCTATACTATACGATTTAATACTGTATTATACATGGATGAGTAGTACTTCACTTTATTCTTGAATTTTTCATCCTTCTGGGCACATCGTATTACCATGGACAAAAAGATATTTTAGACAAACACATTCAAATGAGCATTTATTTGTTCTCAAATAAGCAAGTGTTACACACATACATATACATCAGCATATATATTTATGTTTTCTGAATATTCGTTCAGAATGATTATGCTTTCAAACACTGTGTATCTTTCTGAAGCTGCAGACAGCTTTTTGAGGAGTGGCTGGGGGAACATCACAAATCTCTAGGGAAGGATGGAAATGGTTTACAACACCTTTTGTATGGACTGGTTGCCTTTAGGATGCAGAGCTGCCTTCCTACCCAATACTGGCAGGCTTAAGATAGGACTGATGCCATGTCCTTATCTGCACTTGCAGTGCCGTGTCATTCATCATTGCCGTCATCTTTGGAAAAAAGTCACAACACAGTGTAACAGTATGTGTTTCTCTGCAGCTATGACAATTTTGGTATTTGCACTAGGGGAAAATATACTTAGACAGTCCTCACAATAAAAAATGTCCCATATGTACATGTGCTAGCTCACTGCTTTTCTCCTTTAACTTTATTAAAAGATTTTTAATGAAATCTGTGAGCATTATGTTCTGCCTAAATAATATCTTAGGTTATGCTTCTCAATATATACATTTGAATGACAAATTAAATGTTTCTTACAAAATGATTGCAATACATTCTGAGATCCTTTGAACTGAAATATAGAAAATATTTAACAAAATATGTGTGTACCATCTAAATGTAGCTATAGATTTGTTTCTTCTCTCTAATTGTTTAGTATCATAATGTCCCCTTTCCTAAGTTCTCCTGTTCCATTAATCTCATCTAATTCCTTTTTAAATTTAACACTTTAAATCAACACATATACCAATATCTTTATTAATCAATCAACCAATAAATACTTCTTAAAAATTATGAGGAGAGCTACAAAAATCTAGAAAACATGTTGCAAACTATCAAGCAGATAATATCCTAACTGAAAAATATGGCAATCCAAAAATTATTGGCCCGGCGCGGTGGCTCACGCCTATAATCCCAGAACTTTGGGAGGCCGAGGCGGGTGATCACCTGAGGTCAGGAGTTCAAGACCAGCCTGGCCAACATGGTGAAACCCTGTCTCTACTAAAAATACAAAAAACTATCCCAGCATGGTGGCAGGTACCTGTAATCCCAGCTACTCGGGAGGCTGAGGCAGGAGAATTGCTTGAACCCAGGAGGCAGAGGTTGCAGTGAGCTGAGATCCCCCCATTGTACTCCAGCCTGGGCAACGAGCACAAGACTCCATCTCAAAAAAATAAATACATAAAATAAAATGATAAAAGTCTACATATTTTAAAATATCTTTATATCACTTTCTTTACCAAAAAATATTTGAGCCATTTGAATAAATGCCTAAAAAGGATTTGTTTGTATTTTTTAGCAAGAAATTGTGGTGTCATAGGAAAACAAAGCTAGAAAGTCAGAACAATGCAGATCGGAAAGCCTACACAATTACTAGACATAAGCCACAGAGTCAGCACTGAGGAAAACATGATCAATTACAAGACGCAGAGTGTCCAAAAGAGCAGGCTAGGTAAAAGATGAGGGGTCTTTTATTATCACTAGAACTAAGAGAAACTTCCCCTGTTGATTCTTGCCAGGGGATACAATATGGCTTACTGAGCTACAGCCTCAACAACAGTCTTTTAATAATGTAATATTGAGTTTCATTTTGCTGTACAACGTTCTTCAAAGTGATGACAATGATAGACAATAAATAACTGAGAGTCGCATTGGAGAATTTACATAGGGAATATTAATATATAGCCAGTCAAGGTAATCCAGGCCATCTGCTGTAACAATCAACCACAAAAACCTCAGTCTCTTAACACAAGAAAGTCAGTGAAATGTAGATTGTGTGTTTCTCTCCAGCAGCTCTCCGTCAACAAGTGACCTACCCTAGCTATCCCTGCTGGCATGCATGGCCTCTAAGAGCCCTGCAGAAGAAGAGGTGGGGCATGGAGAAAGGTACATTGGCTCTTACAGTCAGCTCTCCTCACATGCCATTGGCCAGAGTGTGAGAACACGGCCACACCTCACTGCAAGGGAAGCTGGGAAATATATCTTCCGTGTGCCCCAGAAAAAAATAAATAAAATGAGATTTGGTGAATGTATAACGTTGCCTCTGCCACAACAGAATGCCAGGCTGAGGAGATTGGATGTCACGTAAAACGCACTAGCCTGGAGTTCTTAAAGGGGAGTGTCAGACTACATGGCATAAACTAATGGTATGAGAACAAAATATTAAAGCTTCTACGCACTGTTAATTTTAATCCAACAGCAACAAATATGTATATTATATATTTTATATATGTATATATATATTAAGAACTATAGGCTGGGCACAGTGGCTCATGCCTGTAATCCCAGCACTTTCGGAGGCTGAGGCGGGTGGATCGCCTAAGGTCAGGAGTTTGAGACCAGCCTAGCCAACATGATGAAACCCCGTCTCTACTAAAAATACAAAAATTACCTGGGTGTGGTGGCGGATGCCTATAATCCCAGCTACTCAGGAGGCTGAGGCAGGATAATCGCTTGAACCTGGGAGGCAGGGGTTGCAGTGAGCCAAGATCGAGCATTGCACTCCAGCCTGGGCGACAAGAGCAAAACTCCATCTCAAAAAAAAAAAGAACTATATCTATATATATTATATAGGCCCTAAGTAAGAAGGCCTCATGTCATGATATGCAAGACAAAAGAGTATAAGTTCTGTGACTTGAAGCATTCATGAGAGATGTCCTTACTTGACCGTGAGCTTTCAATAAATTGTCAGGGGTTGCAGTTTCTGTGCACCCAGTTAGGTGATTTACTGGTTATATTATCTAGTGTTAATGAAAATAAGTCTGATGAGAATGGATACCCGGATTTTTTTTTTTTTTCTTTTGAGACAGAGTTTCACTCTTGTCGCCCAGGCTGGAGTGCAATGGCATGATCTTGGCTCACTACAACCTCCACCTCCCAGGTTCCAGCGATTCTCCTGCCTCAGCCTCCCGAGTAGCTGGGATTACAGGCACCTGCCACCATGCCTACCTAATTTTTTGTGTTTTTAGTAGAGACAGGGTTTCACCATGTTGGCCAGGCTGGTCTTGAACTCCTGACCTCAGATAATCCGCCCGCCTAGGCCTCCCAAAGCGACGGGATCACAGACGTGAGTCATCGTGCCTGGCCAATATCTAGCTTTAAAAGAGTCCTGCGAAAACTCCACAGACAGATGATGCTAAAACATTAAAATGCCAGTGAACAAAGACAAACTAGCAGGGCTCATGCTTCTGCTCTCCAGCTTTATTATAAAATAGAAACAACTACCTAATCAGACAAAATCAGTCCCCAAAAAAGGTAATTATCAAGACAGTTATTTGAAAAAAAATGATTTATATCCACTATCATTAATAATGAACCTAATCCTAAATGTACATCAGGAGTGAAAATCCAGACCTACGCTATGTTATAGCTCTTAAAGACGGCGAGTGGAGTTGTTTGTTAGTCCTGGTGGGTTCCTGGTCTGGCTGATTTCAGGAGTGAACCTGCAGAGCTTCCAGGTGTTACAGCTCATAAAGGTGGTGTGGACCCTAAAAGTCAGCAGCAGCAAGATTTATTGCAAAGAGCAAAGGAACAAATCTTCCACAACCTGAAGAGAATCCAACCTGCTCACTGCTGGGGGTCTGGGGCAGCCTGCTTTTATTCCCTTATTTGGCCCCACCCACATCGTGCTGATTGGTCCATTTTACAGAGAGCTGATTGGTCCATTTTACAGAGTGCTGATTGGTGCATTCACAAACCTTTAGCTAGACACAGAGCACTGATTGGTACATTTACAATCCTTTAGCTAGACATAAAAGTTCCCCAAGTCCTCACCCAACCCAGGAGCCCAGCCAGCTTCACCTCTCACAAGGACTAGGACTGGGGCTGACCCTGTTTGACCCATGGCAGGCCTGCTCCAGTGCCCAGCGCCCACTCTTGGGGTCCTGGTGGGTCCTGGTGCTTCCTCATGGCACACCCGACCAGGGGTTCTGGCACAGGTCTGCAGGTCGGGGAGCGGCCCAGCCCTGCCAGCCACTAGCCCACAGGGCTCAGGTACCCCAGGGGGTCAGGGGACCTCTTGGGCCTGGTGCCCACCCTCAGAGGCCCTGGGTGGAAACAGATCACACCTCCCGCGCATTCTGTGGCTGTCTCCTGGAAGACAGACCTCCGTGGTCACTCCTTCCTCCAAGCAGCTCAGCAGGCCCTTCGCTCTACCAGGCTGGCACTTCTACCTAGGGAAGCCCCCAGGCTGAGGTGCCCCCAAACTAGGTACAGCTCTGCGCGGACCCCGCTGTCCTGGCGTCTGGGTTCCACATGTGAAGGCCCCACAGATGGCAGGAGCGCCTGTGAGACAGCTCTTTGTCTCTGCCAAACATGTCCTGGCCCCTAGATCTTTGCCCCCATCTGAAGCACTCCCGGCAAACTCTCAACACCCAAAGGTTGCCATGAAGTCCTCACAACTGGAAGAGTTCACTGTGGCCGTGGCCAGAGGAAGTGATGAGGCGAATGAATCAAAGCTGTGGTATCACCTGCCGGCAGGCCAACCAGGTGGCAGCGATTGCCAACACTGCCTGCCACCAGTCTGCTTGTGTGCAAGGTGCAGGCCTGCCCACCTGGGAGTTCCCTATCACACCTGGCTCCACCCTTCTTGCCAGGTCTCCACTGTCTTTAGCTGGAGACAAGACCTATATAAGGTCATTGTCTGTCTGCGAGAGCCACTGAATGGTGACCATCTCAGTGGATTTTTCCGAGTCTCGGAAGCACAAAAGAAACTCAGGGCAACCCAGTCAACTGGAGAAAGAAGCTCTGGAGAAAAGCCAGATCCTGCTGCCAGATGTTCAGCCTCCTGTCCTGCTGATGGCCTCTGGGGGGTGGTGCTGACACCAAGTATTCACACCATGCCATAGACTAAAGACAGCTAACTAGCAGACTGGCTTTGGGGAAAAGGAATGAATGATGAAATTGACATTTTTATTTGGGTTTTTAAGAAACAAATAAAAATGTCAAAGCATTTGCATTTACTCAGTGGCTTGGTCTTCTGCACAGTTAAGGGCAGGCTATGATATTCTGGATGTCTCAGTGCACAGGAATACATATCACAGTCTTGAACATTTCTGCGGAAATCTTGCGATCAAGGAACATTTCATGAAATTATTTAGATCTTTTCCCTTGCTCCTCTGGACATGCTGTCTTTCTTAATTCTTCTCTGTCACCATCTTTGATGTGCGTGAGATATACATTTTACAGCTGAGAAGGAGCAAAGGAAAGAAAGTGTGAATTGTCTCCTTTGGTGGGCTACACCAAACTTTGGAGATATTATAATGGACTTGAAAATACCAATTAAATTCTTCTCACATACACTATGTGTTCCATAAATGTATTTCCAGAAAAAATCTTTTTTTGCAACCTTAAATGTTGTGCTGTCACTAATTTTCATACGTGTACTTTATGACAACACAGACCTCTCTCTCTGAGATGTGGAAGTGTTACACAACACTCATAAAACAGACTTCTTAATCTTCTTTCTGTTGGTGTCCCCCCAACCTCCTAGCATTTTAAGCAATTTACATTACTTTTTTTTTCAGTAAATGTTTGTGTCCATTGGATTATAAGCGTTATTAAGAAATACAAAAACAAAATATTGGTGTTGGGTTTTCTTTCTATGAGCGCTCATCTTTTAAAAATACATAATGAGCTGGGCACAGTGACTCATGTCTGTAAACCCAGCCCTTTGGGAGGCCGAGGAGGGAGGATCACTTAAGGCCAAGAGTTAGAGACCAGCCTGATCAACATGGTGAAACCCCATCTCTACAAAAAATACAAAAATTAACCTGGCATAATGGTGCACACCTGTAATCCCAGCTACTCAGGAGGCAGAGGCACGGGAACTGCTTGAACCTCGGAGGCAGAGGTTGCAGTGAGCTGGTATCACTCCAACTACACTCCAGCCTGGACAACATAGTAAGACTCTGTCTCAAATACACACACAGACACACACAAAAAATAAAAATAAAAATACATAATAAAGTATGTAGAATAAAATTGTGTGAGCCTAGGGGCTATGCCAACATAATCTAATTGAGGGAAAAGGAGAAGGTGGCGATGAACTAAGACTGGCCATGAGTCAGTAATTGTGGAAGTCCAGCTCTATGTACATGGAGACTCATCATTTTAGTCTCTCTAATTTTATATACACATGAATTTTTCACAAGAAAAAGCTAAAAAAAGACAAGTATCATGGTTTCATTACCTCAACTAATAGTACAGTCACTCCTTCCATTTAGATTAATATATTTCTGTGAGGTACCTGTTTGAGCTATGACAGTCATCAAAAACTAAGGTATAAATTAACTCAATATAATACCAAACCTTGTATCTCATAAAACCTAAATCAGCATTTTCCAAGTTAATGAAGCCAATTTAATTACATAGATCTCACTAAAATACTAAGTTTTAGAACAAAATATTCATTGCATCTTTAATAATAAAAATATAATTTTATTTTGTAAATACTAGTTCATCTTTACATCACCATTCACATTCTTACTATGTGGCTTTTAACATTTAGTTGTAAATGTGTAGATTTAAGAAATAAACATACATAAATGGGGGGTTACATACCTTTAAAAGTTTCCAGCATAGAGGGCACAGGCCAATGCGTCAGAGCACAGCCCGTGCCCAGGAAGCTGTATCCTATTTGTCCTTGCTGTTGCCAACGTGTGGTCCCATGCCTGGCACACATTTCACATTCGATACAGTTTGTCAACTAAGGAGAAAAAAAGACACTTTGGAGTGGCATACAATAAGAATATTAGAAGTGTAAAAATAAACAAACGCGTCTCCTCATTTTCCAACAGGGAGACAGAGGCTTAGGAAGGGTAAATCACAGAGCTAATGGATGTATGGTGAAAGAAATGTTTTCACATAGACCTGTGGGATGCTTCAGAGAAGAAAAAGACGAAGCAAAGGCACACGTTAAGAGACAGCCACAATCATTACAGTGCAAGGTAATGGGAGCTGCACTGGGAGGGAGGGAAGGTAATGAGATGCAGAGGAGGATCTGAAAGACACACAAAACACTCCTCTGGGCACTGCTTTCTCACTGTCAGTAAGATTTCACTTTAATCTATTTCTACACATGCTGGTATCAATCATGATACCCAGATATTTTTACTCATGGCCCCAAACTGCACAAAAAGACATAATTAGCAGTTCTTTTGACTCATCTGGGGCCTCTGAGAGTGATTCATACCCTCCGCTACACAATTATCCACCATAAATATAGTTCAACCTCTGTCTATTCCAAGCAATGGTTCTTTATAATGTCCATTCATATGCTTTTTACTTCATCCCTATAGGAGTCCCACCTCTTTAACTATTCTTTTGAGATCTCCCATATTTTTTCTCCTCCACCTAAGATAATCTGTCTCAGTGCACATTATTCTGGAATAGAGCAGTAAACAATCTTGCAGAATCCAATAGCAATTTTTGTTTTTCTCCCCCACACGTGCTAAGATCAAAGATGTGTTCGAGTTAATAATTTCCCTTAAAATGGAAATACGAAGGAGTAAATATCTTCGGTGAGAAAAACTAGTTGACCTCTTTTGTTCAAGACCAGTAACCCAGAGGGAATCGAAGTTTTGATTGTCAGTAAAAAGGCAAATAATCTGAAGAAGCGTGTGGATAGTGGCTAAGAAAGGCCACGATAAAGTCTGGGCAAGCAGAAGAAATACACTGGTGAAGCATCTGAGATTCAGAAGAGGAGCTCAGCCTCAAGGTGGGTGGGGACGCTGGAATGGGTGGGTGGGGAAGCAAGAATACCCCGGTGACAAATGTACAGAGGGACAAGGGGGCTGCCAACTGTTCCATAGACTGGAGATCATTGTGTGGTCCCTGCCTGGCCCCCAGGACACTCCAAGCCAGTCCCCAGCTAGCCCTTCTGCTCCAAGCCTGTCAGCACACACTGTATGCAGCCTTCCCCAGGCTCTCACCCTGCCTCAGACCCCAGCAAGTTCCAGATCAAGTCTTCTCTCTTCCCTAGATGCTTTTCTGCCTGTGCCAGCCCACCACACCCTTGCCTCTCTGTACAGTACAACCGTCAGAGACAATTGTTTTGAAATTCAAGCCTAGCCTCTCCAGTGAAAATAAAGCTCCTTAAGAGCAGTGTTTCTGACATACCACTTCTGTTCTTCCTTCAGAAAAAAGAGCAGGAGTAAATGAATTAAGAATGATACTTTAAAACAATCAGTATTTCCATCCTGGTTTTGTCCAGCTATTTAGAACAGTATACAATGTACAGCTTTAGAAGCAGCCTCTTATTTGAGGGTTGGTTTATAAACTGCATGGTTGAAAATACATCCCAGCCCAGGACTTTACAGCTGATGATCAAGAAATGAACAAAGCTGGAGCCCAAAAAGACCAATATAGTCAATGTGCTTGGACAAATGTCAGCAGCTGCCAAGGAGGATTTCATACTTAGAATGGTTATTCGACTAGAGATCAGTTCTATTTTAAGAATTTGTTTCCTCTGCATAAGAAAAGTTTGAATACATTAAATAAGTGAGAGTTCTAGATGCCTGGGCACATAATGAAAGTTTTAAAAATAACTAATTACACTGTTTTCCAAGTGGGTTCAAAGATTTTCAGCAAAATAAAAAGAAGCTTTTGTTTTTAAAATAAAGTACACCAAAGGAATAATATACTTCTGTATTTCAGATGGCCAAAGCATAGAAATATGAACCCCAGAGTTTCATTTGTGCCATTTATTTATTCACTTATATACTCACGCATTGAATGTCTATTATATGCTGGGCATTGTGCTAGGTGCTAGAGAAGCAGGGAAAAGGAAGACATCTCACCCACAAGGATGTCAAATTGTGGGAGAAAGACATTGTTCTTAAATATGCCATGTTTTAATAGGAATCTAAACTTATCTTGGGCTTGAGGCAATAACTGAGTAATAGATGCCAGGTTTCATAAAATACCTAGAGGAACTGTGTGAATTAGGCAGTTAGAATTATACAAGTAAAGACTGTGGTTTCTGGAAATCAGGAATAAGCTACAAGGTAAGACATCCAGGGTGTCCAAACATATCCTAGAAGTCCTATAATCACCAGGAAACAAGCTAGATGTCAATAGTCCAGAAAAGCAGGACATGTGCCAAGAGCTACCAGAGTTAGCAGAGATGAAAGACAGTCCAGAGGTTGACAAAGTCAGGCTAGATTCAAAAAAGCAGGAAAGTCTCGGGTTAAGATGGGCTAGTGATCTAGAATTATGGACATTCAGTCAAGCTCATTTGTGTTCACAGGGCAGAAGTAAACCAAACCTTGACCACAGTAAACGCACATCTGTCATAAGCCTACCATGTGCCAGGCATTTGGCTAGTCACTTTATATAAAATATCTCATTTAGCTCCCCCACCCCAAACTGTAAGAGGGTTGTTCGCAGATGAGAAAATTGAGACTCAAAGAGATTAAATACCTTACCCCAAATAGCAGTGATCACCTGCCGAATCATGAGTTATTTACAAATGAGAAAATGGAGACTCAGAAAGATTAAATAATTTGCCCCAAACCACAGTGATCATCCTGGTAGAGCTAGGATTCAAACCTTGAGGTCTGGCTCACAAGTCTGTGAAGTGAGGCTTATCTCTCTACTTCCTGCCTGGGAAGGCACACTGAAAGTGAGTCCAGAAGCTGAGGAAAAAGTGAGGAACCTCTGACTGCAGATGAATTTAGACAAGCCAGCTAAGAGAAAGGGAGCAAGGATTAAGGGCAGATAATAACAAAGTGATCCACGGGACTTCCATTGAATGATCAAATTGGATTTCATGTGACAGGTTTTTGTTTTTGTTTCTTGAAGTTTTGTTTTGTGCAAAATTTCAAGACAGCAGTGATTATGTGATTAGGTGTCTTGGGCCCTTTGATGTTGGCTCCGTTACTGCATGCCCAACTAAAGCTTCTAATAGCTGGGGACATTTCAGAGGCTGAACAAAGAGTTTATTAAAGAGAGTTACTCAGGAAAAGTGAAGACCAAAGAGTGGAAGATTGGAGGCTGTTAAATAAAACCAAGTAGTCTGCCTCAGCTACACCACGTATCACCAATGGAACAGCCAGGACTAAGCCTGCACCAGGGAAAACCTCTGGGTCCCTGCTGATAGACACATGCGGCTGGTGTGCGGCTGTGTCTCTATGACTTTCAGTTCCAGGTAGGATACGAGCTACTATCAAACCCTCTGTTGAAACTGAATTTAAATTCAACATTAGCAAATAGTGAGTGACTGAAATAAAGAGAATGCCTTGTCTGAGAGTTCTTTTAGCAGAAATTAAAGAATAGTCAAGACCATGAGCATAGGAAGACATGAACAACACAGATGCAGAAGAGGCTATTTCAAAAAACGTTTCAGTTTCACAAGATGAAAAAATGAAAAGGAGAAACCTGCCCACACAACCGAGGGCACTATCTTGTTTTGGACTAGGAAGCCATATTATACTGTCTTCCTACTCTTCCTATCATCCCATCCCCACAGCCTTAGAAGGCAGCCCCGGAACCGAAGGCCACCTCCTGCGGTTCCGAGCGTCGCCTCAGCAGCCGCACCCACGGCGCACGCTCGGTAGGCGGGGCTGAAGCCTGTCGAATGTCGCGAGAGTTCCCAGCGGTAGGCGGTGGCGGCAGGAGAGAAGCGCCGTGTAGCTGCGCTTCCGCAAAGATGGCGGCGGCTGCGGGGAGCTGCGCTCGGCTGGCGGCCTGGGGCGGAAGACTGCGACGGGGGCTCGCTGCCAGCCGACGGGCTCTGCCGAGTCCCGGCCCCTTGGCTGCGGCAGTGGCCGGCGCCGCCCTGGCAGGAGTAGGAGCGGCCTGGCACCACAGCCGCGTGAATGTCGCGGCGCGCGATGGCAGCCTCACAGTCTCAGCACAGGTACGGGACGAACTCCTGCTAGCCCCAGTCAAGCTCCTCCCTCCCCTGACGCCCTTTGGCGGGGAGTGGTTTGGCGCTGGGCGGCTGTCCCGGAGCCGTGGGTCGGGGCGCCGCTGCGTGTTGGGGCGCCCTGATACTGGTGGGACTCGCTCCTTCCTGGACTGGCCCCCGCCCTGAGCCCCCGAGGGCCTTCGAGGCCGGTGACGGGAGATTCCGCCTCCCTTGGGAGAACCCCGCGGACGCTGAACACCACAGCCCGCAAACTGGCCGCACTAATTTCGTGGTGATGAGTGTGGGCGTGTCTTAATTCAAGGCTCCTAATTCAGAATCTCACTGCGCCTCGCCCCTTCCTCCTCTCTGGTCTTTGAAGTGGCGTTCACGTCCACAGGTGTTTTGCGTCCAGTTACCCCGCTGGGATATACCTTTGTTAACCTTTGTAAGTTTTACGACCTCCTCTTTGCATAGCATGATGAAGTTCTGTCGATTGCTTTTTTAAGTCACGAAGGTGTCAGCCATAAAAATTAACCAGTTGATTTCCAGATTTTATTATCAACTTTAAGGAACATTATTGCATGATTATAAACCTTAATGTCTTAGTGGACCATTATAAGTGCTAAGCAAAAATTGCTCCTAAAACCTCCATCTATTAAAGATAAGAGTCGGCCGGGCGCAGTGGCACACGCCTTTAACCGCAGGACTTTGGGAGTCCGAGGCGGGTGGATCACCTGGGGTCAGGAGTTCGAGACCAGCCTGGCCAACATGGTGAAACCGGCCCCCCCCGCCCCCACGTCTCTATTAAAAATACAAAAAATTAGCTGGGCATGGTGGTGGGAGGCTGAAGTGGGAGAACCGCTTGAGCCCGGGAGGCGGAGGTTGCAGTGAGCCGAGATCAACCCATTGCACTCCAGCCTGAGCTAAAAGAGCAAAACTCCATTCAAAAAAAAAAAAAAAAAAACAGATTCAAGTTCCCTGTTTCAAGATAGATAATGTAACGCATTTGAAAATTTGAATAAGTAGTACTTTAAAATTTTTGTAGACTTAATAAGTTTTTACGTAAGAGCTTTTTTGAAAATTGAAAGTAGTATTTTATTATTTTCTTTTTTAGATTTACATTATGCCTTTCTAGCGAAAAACTCAAGGAACATTCAGATACAACAAAAAAGAGAGGAAAGAAGGCCTTGTGAATTAAAAATTAAGTATTGGCAAGTGATATTCCTTATTTGTATTAACACAAATTATTATAATATAAATTATATTAATATAATGTAAACATAATAGATATAATGGAAAGGTCTATCGTCTAGTGTTTTTATAGCATTTTTGTGAATCTTGTACCAAGGAGTTCAGTGTATTAATCGTTAGTTTCTCTCTCTCCCCTTGATTCATCTTGTTTTTAAGACCCTTAGGTTAATCTTCTGTGGAGTATCACTTTAACCACACAATGTACCCTTCTTCAGAAACCATTAGTGTCTCATTTTGTTGACAGTAAAATGCACTTTTTTTTTTTTTTTTTTTTTTTTTCCTGAGACTGAGCCTCCTCTCTCTCTGGCCAGGCTGAAGTGCAGTGGCGCGATCCCGGCTCACTGCAACCTCTGACTCCCCGGTTCAAGTGATTCTCCTGCCTGAGTCTCGCGAGTACTAGGATTACAGGCATACGCCACCGCTTCCAGCTATTTTTTTTTTTTTTTTTTTTTTTTTGTATTTTTAATAGAGCCGGGGTTTCACCATGTTGGCCAGGATGGTCTCAATCTCCTGACCTCGTGATCCGCCCGCCTTGGCCTCCCGAAGTGTTGGGATTACAGGTGTGAACCACAGCGCCCGGTCAAAATGCACATACTAAAACTTTGTCCTTCAGAGCCCTTTGAGTCACACTCTGACCTGACACTACTCAGGCACCGTCCCACTGAAGTGATTCACTCACTATCCCTAGAACAAGAGACGTAAATACCACTCACCCCCCAGTAGCAATTTGTAGACTCTTGATTTCACTTATCCGTCTAACTGGTTTTTTTCCGGCCCACTCTAGAAAGACTAGAGTCTTTCTCCTTTTAAATCCCTAACTTGACTCTGAAAACTTCACACTAGTGTAGTTATTTTGGATTTTCTTCCCAACTCTCAGTTCTCCTTCCCTGCAGCTTTGTAAGTTTAATCTTAGCTAAAGTAATACAGAAACCATTTTATTATCAATTGTTTAATAAAGTCTGTTGGCATAGCATTTGCCTGATCTACTGTTGGACTGAGACCCCAGTGGTTCTCATCCTTTTGCCACCACGGTGGACATTCCTTTCAGCATCAGTGGCTGAATACAGGAAGAATTGAGAGGACCTGTAGCTTGAAAACTTTGCCTTCACCTCAGTGATTTTGATATATTTCCCTAAGAGATGGGCCTGTTAATTCTCCTCTACCACCACTACTTTGGGGACAGGTGTGCATAGTTGAGCTAGATATATACTAGAATTTTGACTTGTGATGAATCTTCCATCGCCATACAGTTTTATGCATTAATACAGTTATGTTGGTATTCCAAGTTGGTAAAGTCTTCCTGACGTGGCCCTATAATGATAGTGAACACGTCTGGCCTGGCCCGGCGGCTCACGCCTGTATTCCCAGCACTTTGGGAGGCCGAGGCGGGTGGATCACGAGGTCAGGAGATCGAGACCATCCTGGCCAATACAGTGAAACCCCATCTCTACTAAAAATACAAAAAATTAGCCGGGCGTGGTGGCGAGTGCCTGTATTCCCAGCTGCTCGGGAGGCTGAGGCAGGAGAATGGCATGAACTCGGGAGGTGGAGCTTGCAGTGAACTGAGATCACGCCACTGCACTCCAGCCTGGGTGACAGAGCGAGACTCCGACTCAAAAATAATAAAAATAATAATAATAGTGAATATGTCCTTCATTTTCAGTCATACTAAGTGCTTTTTTCCAATAAAAATATAAATTTATATTAATGAAGTCCTACATTTTTCTCGTTCCCATTGTGACCAATAGCTTGCATTTTTGAGGGTCAGTCAGGAATTAAGGGTAGAGTTTCATGTCATGAAACAGTAGATAAATTGGAACCTTCCTTTTTTCTTTACTTTCTTTCTTTCACAAGTATTGAAATCTTACTCGGTCCTAGACAATATGCCAGGAGCAGGGATTGGAGACACAGTGTATGTGCTTACAGTTTAATGGGGAAGGGCAGTTTTAATATAGTGTGATCAATGCTGTGGTCGGGTTAAATACTGGGTGCTGTGGAAGCATAGTGGAAGAGTATTTCACACAGTCTTGGTTTCCTGAAGGAATTATGTGTAGATTGACACCTGGAGGGTGATTGCAAGTTTGCTAGGCAAAGAGAAGGGGAAGAGTTTCATTGGCAAAGGAAATAGCTTTACAGAGGTCTGAAAGTCAGAGTTTGACGCAGCAGAGTAAGAGCTGCGAAAGATGGGGTTCAAAACTGGGTTTGAGCAGTGGCTGGGAATCAGATCATTAAGTGTCCCATAAGCCGTGTGACAGGAATTTTTATCTTGAGGACAGCAGGAAGCCGTTGCAGGATTTCTTAACCCTCATGGAGCCCCGTATGTCCGTGCATAGAATTTAGGGGATCTGTGAACTTAGAAAAAAGATTACATTTTTGTTTTCATTGACAAAATTTCATTGACAAAAATTTTGTTTCATTTTTGTTTTCATAAATTGTTTAATGTTTTCTTCAATTCATTTAATGAATGTCGGCAACAAGCTATGGTGATATTATAGTAACTGCCTTTGTCATCAGCAGAAATCTGAGGTATTTTCCTACTGTATTAGAGTTGTTATGAGTATTTCAGAGTATCACTTCTTCAAAGTGAAAGCACTTTTTAAAACTGCCACCATATCAATTTAGTGCGTAAATAAGTCCATGTAATACTATATCACAAATTTGTTTGTGACCTTTGGAAAGAGTATTGGGACTTTAGTAAAGAGAGTGAATTGAAAATTAGATTTAGGGAGCTGTTGCAGTAATTCAGGAGAGAGTTGATGATAGCTTAATTAGTGGATGAATTTAAAATACATTTAAAAGATAAATTAGTAAAGACTCTGAATTGTAAGTCTATGTATTGTATTGTTACACCTGGCCAACAAAATAATGCCTCCAACAAAGAAATTCTTAGTGGAAATTGTTTTAGATCCTGTCAGCACATCAGTTATTTCCATGTAAACTGCTGCTTTTTAAACAATATTTGAAAACTTTTTTAAGCTTTTAGTATTACTCCCATTACAATGTTATATTTGATTCAGACATGTAAAATCAGAAACCATAGGAGGAGATAGATATATTCTCTTGTTCCAGTCCATTCTGCTATAAAAGGATAGCTGCATTCTTATTTTTATTTTTTTTATTTTTTATTTTTGAGACGGAGTCTGGCTCTGTCGCCCGGACTGGAGTGCGGTGGCTGGATCTCAGCTCACTGCAAGCTCCGCCTCCCGGGTTTACGCCATTCTCCTGCCTCAGCCTCCCGAGTAGCTGGGACTACAGGCGCCCGCCACCTCGCCCGGCTAGTTTTTTGTATTTTTTAGTAGAGACGGGGTTTCACTGTGTTAGCCAGGATGGTCTCGATCTCCTGACCTCGTGATCCGCCCGTCTCGGCCTCCCAAAGTGCTGGGATTACAGGCT